GGGTCCCTCTGTTCGCACTTTGCTGAGAGTTTTTATCAAGAAAGTGTGTTGGATTTTGTCAACTGCTTTTTTTTGCATAGATTGATACTGTGATTTTTGTCTCAGTTTATGTGATGTATCACATTTATTGATTTGCAGATATCGTACCATCCTTGCATCCCCGGAATAAATCCTACTTGGTCATGGTTTATGATCTTTCTAATGTAATGCTGGATCCTATTTGCTAGAATTTTGTTGAAGATTTTAGCATCTATGTTCATCAAGGGTATTGGCCTGTAGTTCTCTTTCTTTTTTGATGTCCACTTCTTCTAGTCTACTGTCGATGCTTTCTATTGTGTTCTTTATTGCAAGTATGTCATTCTTTGTTTCTTCTTGGTTTTTCTTCATTTCCTACTGGTTCTTACATATGTTGTTGAATTTGTTTTCCATCCATTTCAGCGTCCTTATGACCATTGCTCTGAATTCTTTCTCTGACAAATTGCTTGCCTCCATTTCGTTTACTTCCTTTTCCAGTGATTCCTCCTTTTCTTTCATATTGGGGCTATTTCTTTGTCTCCCCATTTTTGCTCCCAACGAAGGATCTAGCTGTCAAGTTGTGCGGGGGTTGATCCTCGATCTGCAGAGGTTCTTCGGGTGGTCATGGCAGCCACTGCTCCTCAGTTGGCTGCGGCTCCTCTGGTGGGCATTGCTTACAGCAGTGTTGGCTCTTCTGGCTGGTGGGGGCAGGCTTCTCATGCAGTTTCTACTCCTTGGATTGGGGCTAGCTGCTCACCAGGCTACTGCTCCTCGGATGGGGGTGGGCTGTGTGTGGCTGCTGCTTCTTGGATGGGGGCAGGCTCCTCACACTGCTGCTGCTCCTTGGATGGGGGAAGGCTGAATGAGGCTGTCACTCCTTGGATGGGGCAGGCTGCGGGGTGCTGCTGCTTCTTGAACAGGGGTGGGCTGCTTATGTGGCTGCTGCTCTTCAGATGAGGATGGACTGCTCCTACCTTTTATACTTATGTCTATGATTTATTTTAAGTTACTTTTTCCATTTGCTATAAGAGTCAAATTCATTTTAAAAATAGAATTTCTTTGTCCCCCATTTTTGCTCCTCTAAGGTTGTCTGGTTATGTGGTTCACTCTCTACCACGTTGACTTAAAGCCACAAAATACAACTAGACAAGACACAACACAGAGGGCACAAAACACGAATGTATTCATGATACCAATAACCCCAACCCAAATAAAGGTGACCTCCAGATAAAAGAGAATTAGGGGACAGGAAAGAGCGCAAAAAGGATATTGAGAAAAGGAAAAAAGGTAAGAAAGAAAAAAGAAGGGGAAGAAAAAAATATGTATATGGGGAGAAAACTCCAAAAAAACTGATAACTAATACAAAAAATGCAAACAACAAACACCCATTAAAGAAGGAGGGAAGCTGAATCTGAAGAGGCAGAGCTTATTTCCAGATGGTAAGGTAAAGGAATTGAATGAATGGGGAAATGGCCACGATTCAGTATAGAGGAGGTAGAAAGAGAAAGA